TGTATCTGTAAAAGAACTGGGTTTTACTCCTGTGATCCTCCATTCCTAGTGTTTACTTTTTAGTTTCCATCTCTGTGATTGGAGGCATTTAATGCAGCTGCAGGATCTCCTTGCCTGTCCAGCTCTACATCCTTGGCAAAGTAACCTATAAAGAAATACCCAGGGTTTTTCAAATTGCCAGTATGTTTTACTTACCTAAAGCAAACAGAGCTCAGTTGGTTCAAGTGTAGTGGTCCATTAAATTGTTGGAGAGACATTGATTCATTCAAGCAATTTGTTACTCTCCCATAACTAACTTTGCCAATACTGGAGATCTATCACCACCCACACATCGACGCATAATTAATATCTTTTACACAGATTGTTTTGGTTTACTGGAAGAGTTTATCCAAATCCCTCCTTTCCTCTCTCCAGTCCCCCAGTATTGTCCAAAGGTGTTGGGAGTCAAGGCAGCTAGACAAATAGTTACCAATCTCAGCAGCAACAAGAACAGTCCTGGGTTCCTTAAAGAGCTGAAAAAGGCTTCCAAGCCAGGGGTTTCAGGGCACCATTGGTTTCATTGCAAACTTTTCTTAGCTAAAGGACACCTGCTTGAGAAACTTTCTCTGACTTTACCTATGCTGATTTTCTAAAGAACTTAGCATGAAATGTGATTGCAACATGCTTGGCCTTTATCAGGTGAAGTTTACTACAGAAGTAAGTACCTCCAAAGTGACACATACAACCGCAACATCGAAGCAAACCGAATCGTGGTGTCTGAGTTTGGAACTATGGCTTACCCAGATCCATGCAAAAACATATTTGCCAAGTAAGCAATGCTTTTTCCAACAAGATTCTTCTATCTACTTCTCTCTCCAGCACAGATGTCTTTCTGTTTACCCCTGACACATATTTACAAATACAAAAATTCGTTTTGTCAATTTACAATTGCTAAATATTGAAAAAGCCAAGAGATATATCCAGCACTGTACTTTCTATGGGTTATTCGAAACAAATATTTTAAATTGATTTTGCCATCAGTATTAGCTGGTTTATTCACTATTGCAAGTAGATCTTCTCAGAATTTTGAAAATCCAAATATTTTCCTATCCAAGTGTTTTGTAGAAGTTTATCAAAATTATAGTCTGTAAGGCAGGAAGCAGGAAGAAAGGAAAAGATAAAGCAATTTATGCAAAGTTTATTTAACAAAAAGCAGAAAAGCATCCATCACTTTAAAGAAATCAGAAAATCTTCTGAATTAAAGACCCATTTTGCAAAAAAATAAAGTGCTGAAAAATTTCCCGTTGTTTCTTGAGTCGAGTGCAGCGTTTTAAAGCACTGCACCCACAGGCCTGGTGTGATCTTAAGTTCAACATCTGAAGCACTTGGAATCACTGCAATAACTGCTTTTGTACCCTTAGAAGGGTTGATAGGCTGTGTATGAGAGGCAAGGTGTAAGCCAACGTGTTATCACCTCTCTTGTAAAACTGGCTGGGGATATTCCCTGACAAATTCAAGTAGCTCATCTATCTCTTCTTCCTGTGTGAACCACCTCTAATGAACTTGAATTTGATATTTGGTAAGAACACATGCATGGATAGTTATTGCACAATAGTTGACATTTTGTAAGTTGTTACCCTGAGGTAAGATGCTTCTCTTCCTCCTTCCAGCATGTTGAGTAACACTGGCATTTAAAATTTGAAAGGGATATAATCAAATTTGTATTTGCTTCAAGTGAATATGATAAAATCCTACACTAATACAAAAAACTGTCAAGGCCACATGTGAAGCTGGATCTTGTTTGAAATCATAATTGTGATACAGGATAATACTGGGAACAAAAATATTCCATTGTCTATGAATCCATCTCTTTTATGAAGGCATACCCTGAAAAACCTGCCAGTTTTTTTGCTAGAAATTGCTAGGCCAGGCTCTCCCAAGGTATGCATGGGAGAGCCTGTAATGAGCCCAACCTGATAAAGCAGTGCAGATGTTACTGGACCTGCATGCCCATTTGTGAATGGAAAACCAGCTTCATGTACATCCTTATCCCTCCCCCAGGCCAGGGGCACTGGGGAAGTCCATCTCCTCTCCCTTCCACCGGGGCAGTGCAGGAGCTGCCAGATGGAGGCACAGCAGGGAGAGACAGACCCAGCTCCGTGACCCTGCTGCTCTGCACAGCCTGCCCTGCTCGGGTGGCTTCTGCTTTGCATGGGGTGAAGGCTGGTACAGCTTCTGCTGCTCTAATGAGCCAATATGAAATTTCCCTCTCTACAGGGCATTCTCCTATTTGTCTCACACCATTCCTGAGTTCACAGACAACTGCCTGATCAACATTATGAAAACTGGAGATGATTTTTACGCTACCAGTGAGACTAACTTCATCAGGAAAATTAATCCACAGACTCTAGAGACACTAGAGAAGGTACAAACAAGTGTCTGTCATCCTGGTTCCTTATCTGCTAATGAGAACAGTTTCAGGCTGGCCGAATAGGGATCTTTAACATGTGCAGGACACAAAACTGGAAAGATGCTTCTTCTACATTCCCTTACTTTTGAAATCATGGCAAAGTGAAAAAAAGTGAAAGATCTTTTAAGAACTCAGGAGTTCAGAATTAAATCCCAGGGAGTTTGGGAAAAGCTGGGTTTTGTGCAATTTCACTTGTACATAACCTAGCAAGGTTGCAGGAATAATACCACATATCGTGCTTATGACGTGATTATTTTGGATTATTTCCATTATTATGCATCTGTAGTTATCAAATTATTTACATAATTAACAATTCAGTAGGTCAGTTATATGACCATAAGTACCTTATGTAAGATATTGCTTAATTATTAGAATGAAATCTTGACAAATTGAAATATACAATGAAGTTTTTTCTAGCATGCAGTACAGTTTTACAGTTTCCAAGCATTAAATCAAATAGAAATCTTTTTTCTCCAGAAGATTGCTGGACTCATAGCCCTACTAAATAAACTGCTTTCAAAATTAAATGGGCATTTGTAAAGTAACTTTTTTAGCCAAACTTCTTGGATTGTTGTGGCTCCAAGGGAGAGGTCAATGTAATTCAGATTCTGTAACTTGTTTTAGCCTTGAATGTAGGAAATCATGTGACTACCTACATAAGTCATTTGGCTTAATTGTTTAAATTTCAAGGCCTTTTAGAAATAAGGTACCAACAAAAGGCTGCCAGTGATAAAAAGCTGGTGGATTTGTGGTGTTAGCTGAGATCAAGTTCAGCTCTCTTATACATCTCTAAAATCTCCTATTGTATAATTTTGCAGGTTGACTACAGCAAATATGTAGCTATAAATCTGGCAACTTCTCACCCACACTATGACAGTGCTGGAAATACTCTCAATATGGGTACTTCAATAGTTGATAAAGGGAAAACAAAATACGTTCTATTTAAGATTCCTTCCTCTGTGCCTGGTAAGAGATGTCTTTTATCAGTATTTTCTAGAAATTCTTTAGCAATTCCTTTTCTTCTGAGGTTAAGGGGGGGGATGCAGCTCTTCTAGAAACTGATGGCATTTATTTTCTGAATTTTAACTTATTGTGAACTTAGTGTTAACTGCTTAGCCTGTCTGGGCATGTGCTGTTACAAAGGTTCATCTTGAATACTGTGTAAACAGGGCATTTCAGTACAAAGAATCTCATTTTAGAAGAACCTGCATTTAGAAGAATTCTACTTTGAATATTACTAGAGTGAACTAACTTTTTTAAGAAGAATTTCCATTCACTGTATTGTGATGTGCAGATGGAGCATGAACAGAAACAGTTTTATATATAGGGCAATATATATAATTTGAAGTTGTAGATTTTAATTTTCTTCATCAATGAAAATGCTCTTAAAATGCTGATACTGTGATTACAGGGAAGTGTAATACCAAATAATACCTAATACAGATCTAATTCTTCTCTAAACACTGGGCCAACATCAGGCCTTGCTGAAATACTGTTTATAGAGCAAATCACTTGCTCTTCTTCCTTCAGGAAAACTTTTTTTTGTGTGTTGTTTATTAAAATCAGCTGCTAATGTGAAGTCTGTCCTCTTGGTCAAAAATCAAGAGATCTTCCACAGCTGAAAGATAAATTTGTAATTTCTAGCTGGGGCTCAAAGTCAATATAGGTCAAAAATGAACATCTGAACAGTTCAAAAACACTGGGGCATTTGAAAACCCCTTGTAAAGCTGCCAATTTAGTTGAACATCTTTATCCTTGATACTGGCACTTCTGAAGACAGTAACCAGCAGAATAAAATGCTAAAACAAGTAGGATCTGTCTAAATGGATCCAGCATTGTGATATTACTGTGTTGCTTCACTCAGATGCAAACTTCTATGTTAATTCTGCAGGAGGAAACAAATCTCTTTCTTACCAGGAAAATGCAAATAAAACAGAGAGTAACCCATTCTTTCCTACTTCACACGTGGGAGAAATCCAGGCACAAGATTGTTTTTGAATTTATTATAAACATAATTGTATTTTTTATCATTTCTGTTCAGAAAAAGAGAAGAAGAAATCTTGTTTTAAACATATTGAGGCGGTGTGCTCCATCCCTTCCCGCTCTCTGCTCCACCCCAGCTACTACCATAGCTTTGGGATCACAGAAAATTACATTGTCTTCATAGAGCAGCCATTCAGACTGGATATTGTCAAAATGGCAACTGCTTACATCCGAGGAGTGAACTGGGCTTCCTGCCTTGCCTTTCACAAGGAAGATAAGGTATTTTTCCTAACGCTGAGCAATAGAGTCAGTCAGACCAGTGACCCTTCTTCATTGTTCTGTTTTTCAGCTTATTCATTAATTTCACTAATCCCTCGTTTTTTTTAACCCTTGACTTTCATGTTGCACTTTTTTTTTAGAAGTTGTATTTTTGGATGCTATCTCCCATTTCCAGAAATTTCACAAATAAATATCTGATGCTGAAGTGCTTGAGAAAGAGGATAGTTTGGCATTTTTAGAACTATCGTGTGCTAGCAGAGAAGTTCAAAACCACACTAGCATCCCAAACAGTTGCTCATGGACCAAACAAAATGCTGTATATTGTGGATAAGATCTGCTCTAGATGCATTGCATCAGACAGGAGAGCCAGACTGGTGGAAAAGCCTGAACCCAACAACAAGAGTCTTTCACATGGTAACTGAGGAAAAAAATGTGCTTTCTGAGGACTTTATTTCCACATGCACTGGCCAGCAATAAATGGGGCATGCTGGGGTAGAGAGCATCAGCACAGAGCACTACAGAGACTCTGGACAAAAACAGACTTATTTAACTTAAAAACAGACCAGAGAATTTTCCAGGTTTTACTGGAAAAGTTCCATCCAGCCTAGCTCTAATTGTAATTTGCAATTGTAAAATGAGTTTAAAGCAATTCCACATTCATTTTACTCCTGCATGTTTTGATCTTCAGGTTGGAGCTTTTTGTCTCTTAGCAGCAAATCCTGAGTTCTTTATGTGCTTCAGTAGAAACAGACAATACATTAGAATGTTTATGGCTGTCATTAGAAAGCAGTTTCCTATATATCTATTTGCTAAACATTAATGGATTTAAATAATGTTTTCTGTCTTTCAGACTTGGTTTCACTTTGTAGACAAGAAGACTAAAAAAGAAGTGTCCCCCAAATTTTATACCAATGCTATGGTGTTTTTTCACCATATAAATGCTTATGAAGAGGATGGCCACATTATTTTTGATCTCATTTCTTATACAGACAATAGCTTATATGATATGTTCTATCTAAAAAAGCTGAGTAAACACTTGGAAGAGAACACCAAGCTTACCTCTGTACCAACCTCCAAACGATTTGTTGTTCCTCTGCAGTATGACAAGGTAAAAAGCAGCTTTCTTTCTAATCTGTTCATTGGTTGGTAATTTAACATACAACAGTGTGAATAATGGGTGAATTCTTAGCTGACAGTCCTTATGTGGAAATTTGTGGTTCTTTAAAAACAATATATACACAGAATGTGCAGTTTTATTTTGTGTATGGGTTGTGAGAAATGGCAATGAGCAGCTGGACACACAGTTATATGGATCTAGGTTCTGACACCATCCATTCTGGAGAGCAGGGCTACTGAGTGTACCTAATTTCCTTACCAGTGAGATTATTTGTGAAATGCTATCAAATACGAGCAGGTAGATCAGTTTGGCTGTTGCACAGCATGCATGAGATTTTGCCCAATCTTTCTTCCACTTTACTGGATGCCTGTATGTAATACACACATGCTCCCAACTATTGCAATGGCTTTAGAAGATTTCATTTAAGCGTGAGATTTACCAGGAAGAAGAAAGATTTTATCTTTCATTTTAATTTAAAATGCCATTTTACATCATTGTTTGTGGAGAAGATTTTATACTGCTCAGCAACTTGGGCAAGTTTCTGCCTGATACATTTGGAATGGATAGTACTTTTTCTTTCTACGTCCTAGAATCTTGCTGCGTTGTTCATGCCTCAAAAACAGTTATGCGGCAATGACAAAGGATGTGTTGGATCACACCAGCTATCCAAACTACCCTGCAATCTTAAGAATTCAGCAAAAGTGTATTAAAAACAAGAGTACATTACACATATTTTTGCACTTGATTTATTGCAGGTGCAAAAGAACTAACTTGGGTGACTTTCAGTGGGAATTTGATACCTAATTCCTTGAAACCCATATTCATGAATTAAATTCACAAACTATGTAATCTATTTATTGTGCTTCTAGAACACAGCCATGTCTATCTAAAGCTTTCTAAAGGCTTGATATGATTATATAGAATCATAGGATGGTTGGGCCTGGAAGGGACCTTAGAGATCATCTAGTTTTAAAGGTCATCTAGTTCCAACTCCCTGCCGTGGGCAAGTACACCTCCCACTAGACTCAGTGCCCCATCCAACCTGTTCTTGAACACTTCCAGGAATGGCATATCCACAACCATTCTGGGCAGCCTGTTCCAGTGCCTCACCAACCAAACAGTGAAGAACTTCTTCCTTTAATCTGAATCTACCATCTTTCAGTTTAAAGCCATTACCCCTTGTCCTGTCACTACATGTTACTGGAAGGCTGCTGTAAGGTCTCCCCGGAGCCTTCTCTTCACCAGGCTGGACAACACTAACTCTCTCAGCCTTTCTTCATAGGAGAGGTGCTCCACCTCTCTGATCATCTTTGGGGGCCGCCTCTTGATTCACTCCAAGAGGTCCATGTCTTTCTTAGGCTGGGTCCCCAGAGCTCCAGATGGGATCTCATGAGAGCAGAGCAGAGGGGGAAGATCACCTCCCTTGCCCTGCTGGTCAGTCCTCTTGAGTATAACAAGATTTCTGATGAAAAGGTCTGAATGAGATGTTACAAGAGAAATGCCATAAGAAGGAACTTCTTAAAGCTGTGTTATTTGTTTATTCCCCTAACTGTCTGTATTCATATTAAAGCTGATGAAAGATCTAAATCAGAAGCATATTCGCAGAGACATGTTACTTTTTCAGCATATGTCTCTTTCAGGATGCTGAAGTAGGTTCTAATTTAGTCACACTTCCATCTACTGCAACTGCTGTAAAAGAGAAGGATGGCAGCATCTATTGCCAACCTGAAATACTGTGTGAAGGTGAGACATATCCATTTTACAAATCTCAAATATGTTCTCTAACACATACACAGGTGCATTCTAATGATGCCTAATAGCTGTTCATGTATGTCAGATCTTCATAAAGCTAAAAGAAAGGCAACTTTTAATTAATATATTTAGCGTGGATATTGACAGTATCTTTCTCTACTTCCCTCCTCTGGGTCCATCCAGTCATATATGGCCCTGAGCCTCTCAGATATATATTTATCAGGAGTGAAGTCCTTTAAATGTCTGAAGTGACATCAGTTTTACATTAATGTATGATCCCAAGCCTGATCTTCAGCTATTAATATGGCTTGCAAATCTTCCTGTTGCAAGAGTAATTTTAGTTAAATAGGTCTGTTATAAATAGTAACTTCAGTTATTGCTGTGTTTTCTAAAGATTGTATCTGAAAGTGGATTTTCTAACATTTTTTCAGGGGATAATAACAAATATGTAAAGACTATATATTTACCTGAAGCGAAAGTAATTGCATAGAATGGTAGCCTCCAATTATATCTCAGATGTTCACATGTATTTATGAAGAAGAAACCCAATCCAATCCCTCAGAAGTCTCAGTATAATGAATCCCTAAGAATGAACCATTGCCATTTTTGAGCTAACAACCTGACTTAATTATGTTGTGCTAACATCTGTCTTCAGCTTTTTAGAAATTCAGACATACAAGATCTAAGCAACATCTGTTTCAAATATTGTCAAGGTTTTTCACAGGGCAAAACTTCCTGAAGATTTGATATGTAAATGCATGTTTGAGTTATTTTTCCTCTCTTTTCCTAAGTCTTGAACTTTTTTTTACACAGAGATAGAACTGCCTCGCATCAACTATGACTATAATGGCAAAAAATACAAGTATGTCTATGCAACAAAAGTCCAGTGGTGTCCAGTTCCTGCAAAGGTATAATTAACATTTACAAAGTCAGAAAATGTGTTTATAGAAATCAAGTTGAAGCAATTATAAGTCAACCATGCTTTGCTAATTTGGCGCAAAACAGAGCCCAATCTGCATCCAAACATGCACATTCAGAGTGTGTGCTTCTGAGGCCAGAAACTGAGCTCTGTTATTCAACATCAAGGTAAAGCTGCTCAGTTGGGTACTGTGTTCATGAACTTCAGCACCTGAGGCCAGGGAGATGAAAGTTGGCCATAGATATTAGCTTACTTGTATGATTAAAACAGACTCGCTGGACCAAACTATGGAAACAAGGTATCATCATTTTAGTAGCTCAGAATCTGGACCATCATTATCAGCTGTTAAAAACATGTAGTTCCACAAGCAGCAGAACAAATGCTTTCTTACAAACGTGGCTGGAGATTGGATTCCTGAGTATTCAATCGTGTATGTGTTTCTGTCAAAACTTTTCCTAGTGGTGAGTCAGTCACATGCAAAGAAACATAAAATGCCCAAATTCTCATAAGGGTAAGCTCATGTTCTACTGTTTCCCTCATAAAGTATTAATAAACTGAGGCTTATTTATCCAGCTTTACATTTCCACAAAGTTTCTTGAATGCAATAGTTACTGACACCCTCCGTTTTCTGCTAAAATGGGCTGAACTCCTGTAATGTGCCAAGAGCTACAAAGGAGAGAGTAAGAAAAAGAAGTACTGGACAGACAGACATACATCTGTAATATTTTTTCACTTTAAGAAACCTGACTAAAAAGATTAAGTTATTGCAACAGTATCTAATAAATTAAAAATATTAAAACAGAAGCTATTTTTTCAGAAAGCTTTACCTTTTGCTAGCTAGTTCTATATTAAGAGGTAGCAAATGCTTCATTTGTGTATACATGATTCCAACTCTTGAGGAGACAGCCTGGAGTGTAAATAGATTCAGATGAGAAGTATTAATAGTTGAAGGTACAGACAAAGTCACTCTTTATCATCCCTGTTCTGTGACTGTAAGGCAGCACAAATTGAGTTCACTGTTGGTTATTGTATATAATTACCACAGCTGATTACAAAATAAAGCTGGATTTCTGCATGATGCAAGAAAATTTATTGCAGCACATCTGACAGGAGCTCAAACAAATCTCCAAGTTCGTGATTTCCAGTGCAGATAATCCCTGCTTGACTTAAATACACCAAAAAATGCTGTTAGATTTTTTCCTTTTCACACCAGTTGCTCCTTAATGAATGGAGGTACAACAACAGCCATGGATAATCCTTTGGTAAAGTCTGTCAGCAAAATTGCTCTCATCTTGCCTAGAAGGGAGAATTCTACCAAATTCTTTGTTCAGTAACTCAAATAGTTTCATTTTTGTGTAAAAATATTTTTTACTAATAGTCAAAATGGAAAAGAAGATAACTGCATCTGTGTGGGTAGAGAAAAGGCCTTAATAGAATTGAACTGAAAATGGCATGCATCCCCACTGGCAACTGGTTTGGTCAGGCACTTGTCCCATTAATGAGATGAAAATCTGTGCTCTGTTCCTTTACTAAATTCTAGTATCTGTGTGGAATTCTTGCCCCATTGGTTTAATCTTTACACATCACTATTAATAGCCTTTGTTCTGGCATATAGACCGTACTTAACAATAGAAAGCCTTGAGAAATATTGAGGTCACAATAAAAGGAAAATAATTCCCAGGATTAGAAAACAGAAGGTTTAAATCCTGTTCCTATTTTGCTACAGAATCACAGTGATGTGGTGCAAGACACTTAAATGTTCTGGGCCTTGGACTCTTCCTCTGTATAGTGAGGGCATTTATAATGAAGCTTCTCTCATGATCTGGTAGTATTTATAAAATACTGCCCATAAATGAAAGTTGCAACTGACGTCTAAGGAAATGAAATTAAAAGAACATTGTGTGATTATGCAGCCCCCAGATGTGACTTGGGCCCCCTTACCAGGAGTCTGTTTGTGTTTTACCTTTGGAAAAAAAAACACTGTCCAGGTCACTGACATTTCTCTTTTCTGGTCACACCACTTTAGATTGTAAAATTTAATGTCCAGACAAAGGAAATGCTGCAGTGGGGAGAGGACTGCTCATGGCCATCCGAGCCCATTTTTGTTCCCAGCCCTGATGCAAGAGAAGAGGATGATGGTAAAATAATGGCAGCGTTCTGAAATCTGGGGTTACAGGAGTTTTCCATTAAATCTTACAAGTTTCATTGTTCTCAGACAAGAAAGCTGGGTTGATTCTTCCACTGTGAGATAAAATTAGCACCAGCCATTTTACTCCTGCAGACAAAAACCTAGAGCAACAACAAACTAAAGTCAGCTTGCCCAAGGTAGCCAAAACAATAAAGCAAATGCTTAGGAGTTTCCAGAGAGCAACTCAGAGCTGGATTTACCTAGAGTCTGGAGCAGCTGAAGCTGTGGGAAGTCAGTGTTGTTACAGATAAGAACATGAAGTCTCACTGCAAGTATCCCTGTAATATCAATCCAGTTCTGTTCTCAGGTGACTCCTTGCAAAGGCAAACAGCAAATAGATGAAAGGATGAGCCCAAAACTGTCAGGCACACAGTTCAGTGTTGGTTTGTTTTTTACCTTCCCAATGAACTGCGGGCAGGACAGAAAAAAAACACAGAAGAGAAGCTTTCATTAATTCTTTAGCACTCTCAGTAGACTTCTTGATCTAGTAAGCACTCTAGTTTGTGACCTAAAATTCTTAGGAAACAGGAATTATTTCCTCAAAGTGTTTTCTCTTCTGCTTGGTGTAACTAGTAAGTGCTTCTAATTCTCCTTTTGTATGTCACAGGCGTTGTTCTGACCTGTGTTGTGATGACTGATCCAAAGAAGGCACCCTTCCTACTTGTCTTGGATGCTAAAACATTCACAGAATTGGGCCGAGCCACCGTAAATGTAGACATGCATCTGGACCTGCATGGGATGTTTATACCAGAGAAAGATTTGAAGACTGAGACTGAATAAAATGCTATTTAACCTATTACACAGACTGAGACAATCTTCTGCTGAATGTGGGATAATACCATTCAGGAATGACTTTATCTTAGGACAAGAAATTACTAAATATAATCTCTTCAATAACTATAATGTCTTAAAAGAGATGGCAATAACTTTTATTAGAAATAATTATATGCACTACTGGTACATAACTGTTCCAAAAGAATAGTGATCAGTATTAAGTGCTAGTGTTGTATACAACTCGTGGGGCAGGGAAGAGGAGACAAAGGTAACAAGAAATGTTTTAGTTGAGTAGAATATGGCTTTCTGAGCAAATGAAGTGCTGTATTTATAGAGTGCTGTGACTCATGGCACGAGTCACATGTTTGCAGGTCATGGACTGTTCCAAGACTGCAGCTTACGATGAAAGTTGTCTCCTGCCAGAAAACCTCACGTTAAACTGTCTGCTAAGATACTAATAATTCATGGTAATGCATTCTCATGGTGCTCAGTTTCTTAAACTCCACCATAACCAAAGTATTACATTGAGGTGCTACAGCTTTCTAACTTAGAACCTAAAAACACCTGCTTTGCTAATAATTTCAGGGTGTATTTTTCCCTTTTATGTTGACAAAACCAGGCAACCTGAAATAGAATATATGGGTTTATGTAGCATTCAATTATACTTTAGTGCTATTCACACTTCAGCACTTTGTATTTAAATTTTTTCCTTGAGGAGAAAATCTGACATGACATTTCATGTAATTAGATGATTACATTGTGTAAAAGATAAACAGAAATGTAGTATTTATTAATATTGCTACTAGTCTCTGTTAATAACAGATGTCTATGAATGAGAGCAGTATATTTCTAGCAGAACTCAGATACACATCTTCAACAAACTTTTTAGGTAAAAGAGTTGAAAGACCAAATTTAGGCCTCTTCCAAGCTACACAATAGCTGAGACTACAAGCTGTTGTTTCTAGAGCTAAGCATTTGCATCCATGTTCTGACATGGGTTTACCATTGCCTGTGAGAGATGCTTCTCAATAAAAGTACACAGCTCTTACTCATAGTCACAAGTGAAAAGCACCTTTCAACATAGAGTTCAAATGCCAAGTACACTGTGACTGGTGTTTCCTAATCCCCAGAGTGTGTTTCTGTTTTCTGGTTGGGGCTGTTGACTATTCTTTAAATGAGAGCTTTTTTCCTTTGAATTGTATTTTCTTGTTGTAGTTGCCTTTACTGTTGGAGGCATCTTTACTGATGGAGAAAACTAGACCTACATCCATGCATTCTAGGTGTTCACCTGGACTGTACATTCCACCACACTGCACAGGTATCTCACTCTTTTATATATGCACTCTCACAGTGTCCCTGCTGCTCACTGTGTTTTACAGGTAGGAAATAGAATGAAATCATTGTTATTCACTATCTGCACATCACAGGAGAATCAAGGTTTGGTGACCTGTTCGTGATTTCGTAAGATGTTTACCGCAGAGCAGGAATTGAACCAACACCATCCACAGTTCCTGTTTGCTATGTAACAACTGTACCTCCCTGTCTATGCTTAAGCCGTTGCAGCTTCTAAGTATAAAGAATATACAGGCTATCTTTAATGTAAAAAAAGACACTGTGGTTAATGTGGTCTGGAGTTAAAATATGCAGTTTGGGGCATTCAAATGTTTATATATTCCATAAAATGGAAATAAACACTTCAGTAGGGTGTGCCTGCAGAAATAGTAATTTTTAGTGTTTTCAAGGCATATTACCACTACTGTTTAAGAAAACTTTATCTTCTAAAGAAGAAACTCAATTCCATTTTTGTAGTAATATGGAACCAGTTCTGGAGTGGAACTGACTTTCGATCTGAAAAAGTTGGGATTTAACAATTCTCCACAAATATTTCTGTAATTACAAGGTGGTAATGAATCAAAAGTATAATCATTATTATGGATCTTCTTTTAAGAGATAGTCTCTGGAATTTCTTCTCTGGAATTCACAGTGTTATGTTTTCAGACAATCGTGAGTTTTGATACAGGAGTTACTTGACCTCTGCGGAGCTAATTCTTACTGTTAGAGATTACATGACAGGGGAATATTCAGATTTGTTATCTGCAATCCAAGAGAGCCAATGTGTTACTTATGTTCATGTATACTGTGGAAATAAATTAGAAGAACTAGTCTTGGGTATGATTTTTCAAAGAGTGTGATGTAGGCCCTTGGTCAGTGCTAGACAGGATTCAATTAGCATTAAGTTTGCAGTCAACCTGAAGAGAAAAACTGAGGTGTAAATCTGGATTTGCCAACCCCAGTATCCTCCTGTGGCAGAGACAGTATGGCTAAACCCATATGGCTAATCACACATTTATTCAGGAATGTTTTTAGCAATTTGAATAGTAACCTGATGAAAGGTTTCTCCTGGGTATGGTGATGCACTGTATCATCTCTGGGCTGACACTGACACGGGGAATGTGCACATGCTTTGCAGAGGGGCTCCAAGGCTTGTGGGGTTTTCTTGTTGTGGTGACACGGCATGCGGTAACGAGCCTGTCATTTGGTTTGCTCCTCTGGCATCCTTCACTACAAATGAAATCTTGAGGGACAGAAAGCTTCCATTCTTCTTTTTCACCAATTTATGTCATAAATTAGCCTGGTAAAACAAATGGAGTTATTGCAATGGCAGAAAAAGGAATCTAGATTTAGTGACTTTGAATTAAAATAGCAAGGATAGGTAGTTCCATTAAAGGAAAAAAACCATAGTTGAGCAAGAGAATTGGGCCATGGGTATGCATACATATAATTACTTCAAAGATTTACAAATGGCCCTCTAGTTAGCAGAGTGGTTTGGTTTGGCTGGGGTTTTTTATCAATGGGTTTCAGTAAATGGAACAAATAACAAAGCATAACAATTAATTTGTTCTCTGGAAGTGGGTATTATCTATTACACCTTGTCTCATTGGCCCACATACACAGGAGGAGGAAGCAGAAACTGTGTTTACTAGGACGAGTTAAAAACCAGAAGTACAACTATGTTTTCCTACATAACAATCTATGCAGGAGGCACAGCGACAAACCCGTGTTTTTAAATAACCAGGGCACTCAATGACAGCTTTTGCAATAATTTAAACCACTGCTCCCCTGGGTCTGCAATTACCAAAGTATTAATAACAAGCAAAATACTTCTTTCATCTGCAGTCAAGATGCAGAGTGCTCTCTGCTTTCATTACCCTCAAAGGGAGCTGGGGACGTGTCCTCTGGATCTGCTGTGCTCTTCCTGGACATCATGTGTCTACACTTGACCTCCTGGATAATTACACCCAAGCCACAGAATAGCCTTCTAATACTTTTCAATGGGTATGTCATAACAAAAAGTGATGCAAAGTTGTTAGTGTTTCATGCAGATTGGTATGTTTCTAGACCTTCCATCATACCAAGATGTGAAACACATCCTCTGCTTCTTCTAAAGCTCTCGTTCAAGCTGCACAACAAACCCAGAGCACTGCAGTCCTCTCTGTGACCCCTCGCCAGTCAGAAGGCACGTAGCAAGGGCTGAACTGTAAACACTGGCTTAAATGGGACTATTCACCCTCTTCACAAGCAAGCCCTTGGTGCACTGTTTTGACTACTAGGGTCTGCATGTGCAGATGTCCCAGCAGAAATCTTCATCTGGAGAACAGAACAGCATTGTGTCTCGCCTGGAAAGGACAACGTCGTCCTTCTAAAGCCATTCATTTCTCTTTCCTACAGGGACATTTCCAGATAACTTTGTCCTATTTTTTTTCTAGTGGCCAAATGATTTGGAGACACCATCAAACTGGACTAGGATGAATTATAAAACAGAATTTTAAGTTGTCCACATTTCAAAGATATGTATTTCCAAATATCAGGCTTGATACCATCAATTTAATAACAAAAGCACCAGAGCTTTCTTACTAGATCAGACCCTGTGCAAATTTTATTCACCTAGTGGAGAAACAGAAAGCGTGATGTGATGTCCTTTTGGGTGTTTCCCAGCCCAAGAAACTCAAGTCCAGTTTTGACCGTCAGAGCGGGGGGCGCGGTGAGCTGCTGTTTGCCCCCTCCCGGCAGCGTGGGCTGAAGTGCCTGTGAAGTAGATCGCAGTTTTTGAAACACCTTCACTCGGTGCAAATCCTTTCACTACTTAAGTACTGGATGCTGTTAAAGGAACAGTAGATGAAATCAAGTCATCTCTTAATGTCCAATTAAACACGTTAAATATATGGCCTAAAACCTTGTGAACAGTCCTGAAGAAAATCTTCTTGCCTGGAAAGGTCCTTTTTCCACATGGCAGCTAGGTAAGGCAGCGCTATCAAAACGAGTCTTGCTCTATTTCGTTCTCATTCTTTTACCTTTTTTTAAGCTAACGCCTAGCATCTTCAACACCAGCTCATGTAAGGGGGAAAAAAATATAGGGTGCTTTTGGTCACATTTTAAAGCCAAGAGGGAAAAAGAAGAACGGCAGTTTCGCAGGCGATGGCGAGTTCAAGGTGCGCGACCTGC